GACTAGGATTTCTTCAGCAGAAAGACCAGCACTAAAAAGGGACACAACAAAGTGTCAGTAAAAATATGAAGGGTGTGAGCAAGATGAACAAAGACTTGTTTGCTACCTCCTAGAAAATGGTAATCTCGAATACCCTTAAAACTTGTAAGAGCTCATTTGGGAAAGAATAAAAGTATTTGTTCTTCTGTACTTATTACTTATAGTCATCTAGAGTTGCAAAGGCTGGAAATAGGTTCAGGAGGAGAAGAGATTAATTAGCAAATGGCAAGGTCACTTTAATCATTAAACAAAATTTCATTTTGCCTTGTAAATATTTTCGAGTATTTCTAATAAACTTATAGACACCAGAATAAAGATTCCCATGTATACATCCTCCATATTTAACAATTATCAATATTTTTCCATACTTGCCTCTGTGCCGTTGGAGTTGGCCTCATACAGTGTAAATTCCACAGTATACTCCCACAAATATTTCAGAAATCAAATACATACTAGGCTCTAAAACTGATCTCACACAGATGAAGGTATTTTTTTTGTTGTTATTGTTATTGAAACTAATAATGTTTTGAGAAAAATAAAATGAATATGTAAGAGCAAATACCTTGAGTTTTCCCTTGGCTAACATAGAATTTATTTCAGTTACACTTACTTATGATTTATCCATGCAAAAGTATTCTTCCTCCCTAATAACTTTTTATTGCTTAAGACTAAATTCTATATATTTATCTTACCTAAGATTCTACAATTGAATAATGATGAGGAAGAGGAAGTGAAGGAAGATGACACCTATAATTTAGTGAGCACTTTTTAAACATTAAGTTCAATATATAAAATCTCATTTAATCTTTACCTTGACCAATCAAAATACCTATTATAACCCCTATTTTGTAAATGATTAAATTTCAGTTTAAAGAATTAGAGCAACTTTTCCAAGATGACAACAATAAAAAACTCCAGCCACTTCAGCAACATCCCAACTCCAATCTCTAGTTCCTCAACTCAGCGAGACTGCTATTCTCTGCTTGCACTGTTCTCTGCTTGAACTCTGTCTGTTGAACAGCAATTGGAAAAGGGCCTCCAGGCAGAAGATCAAGGAGAATGTAGGCTCATCTCATTCGTTTTCCTTCTCTATAGGCTTGTAGTCCTTTGCTGTTATCCAACACTTGAATTCCATCATATATTTATGATACCAATTTTTCTACCATGGACAACCATTATGTATTTTAAAAGTAGTTTTGTAGGGGGAAGCAATGTTTTGTTTTGTTTTCAGACAAATACATAATACTATATACAGTTGAACAATAGTGCTTATACTGGGTAGGTCCACTTGTATGCAGATTTTTTCCCAGTAAATACTTCAAACCTATTTTATCTTCCTTATGATTTTTTAAATGATATTTTCTTTTCTCTAGCTTATTTTATTGCAAGAATACAGTATATAATACATATAACACAAAGTATGTGTTAATTGACTCATATTATGGGTTAAGGTTTCAGATCAATAGTAGGCTATTAGTACAATTGATCTTCAAACAACTTGGAGGGGTTAGGGGTGCTGAACCCTTGTGCACTCGAAAATCTGCATATAACTTTTGACTCCACCAAAACTTAACTACTAATTTTAACTGCCTATAAATTGGTCCATTATTTTATGTCTTTGTATGCAGCCCACAATCTGTAATATGGTATACTGGACCGAGGATATTTTTGATATACTTTTAAGGGGGAAATATGTAATTGTATACAGAGTTACATTTGAAATATGGGGATAGTAATAGTACCCACTCATAAGGTTATCTTAGAAAGTAAGTGAGTTAACATAAATAAAGTTCTTAGAACAGCATTAACAATAGGAGTTAGTACTCATGTATTAGGATGATCATGAAATAATGGCAAAAAAGGAAAAAGAATAGTCGCAGCCCTTTTGGGTAGCATGAATTTCTTATTGAAAGATTAAAGGCAGGTGTGGTGCTCCAGCAAGTTACCATCTCTCCAGTGCTGTGCTTCCAAGGACACAGACTCAATTACAAGGAAAACTTCCCATGAGAGATGGGGGCGGGTGTCTGAGGGGTGTGTGTGTGTGTGTGTGTGTGCATGTTTAAGAGACATAAAATTCAGAACTGAAATATCTTCTATTTCTCAAAGTAGCGTGCTTACATAGAGTATGTATTTAAAATTTAAAAGGTGCAGGTGGAATACGCTTTCCAAAGCTTCTGGGTCTGTTACAAGTAAGATGTAATACTATTCACATTCTAAAAGTGTTACAAGGCAGAAAGGAAAATTGTGACATTGGTAGTTAGTCACAGCTGTGAGTTCATATTTCCCAAAGGTTATTTTACTTTCCATAAACAGAGAAAGAAGAAATTCCTTTAAAATATGGTTATTATTGATTTTGAGAGAGTATGGTCAATAATTGCCATACCAACTATGAAATTTTTAGCTTTTGATAAGTGAAAATAGAGACCTTTTTTTTAAGAGGTGACCAGTACAAAGATTATTCTATTTGTTCATGCAACAGTTTAATAAATGCAAACCAAGGGGAAGCACGTAATCCTCCTAAGAATTAAGGTTTATGCTCTGTAGTCAGAGAAAGCAACAGATGCTGATAATAAGCAATGAGCTGTCAGACAAAATGAGGGCAGAGAGGTTCATGGTTTGGAAAATACTAAAACAAACAAGCAAATAAAAAACTGTCCAGGTTGGGTGGCATCTGCTTGGATACTGTGTTTGTTACTTCTAGCCTGAGTCCACTGTTTCCTGTACTTGACACAGAAGATAAAAATTACTCCAAGGTGTGGAAAAACCTCTTTTTTGAAATGTAGCTACCTTGGTAGTCAAACATTATCATGAATAAGTACATTTCCAGGATGCTTCTTAAAAATAAAATTTTTTTTAAGCGACAATAGTTCAGTAGAAAATATACAAATTATAAGATTAGGTAGTTAACCTTTAGATAGCTTTTCATGTGTCTTCTATAGCAAGTCCCAAATGAGAATTTCCTTTAAACATACTGGGCCTGTTAAGTTTTGTATCGTTTGAGGAGAGAGTATAATTTTCCCCTCTAATGATAATAATTTAGAATATTATTGATTATTATTTTTTCCCCCTACTTTGGCTACTAGAAAGCTTACTCATGATTCAACTAAGCAGAGTATATTGAACCTGATGATCTACTTATTCATGATTTTTTTTTTCTCCTTGGTTTTGACTTTCTGCTCCTATTAACTTTTTTTTACTGAATTATAAAATTCTTTAAAAATATTTTACCATTATTTTATTATATGTGGTGGTGCAAGCTGCCTTGAATCCTTCGTAAGAGAAGATAGGTTTACCTAAATTAATTGTTAGGTAGTTTTCATAGATACAGTTTTACTGGAGTGTCATAACAACCTAGAAAAGTATAAATTATCATTCACATTCTACAGACAGGGAAACTGAGATTCAAAGATATAATAAACATGACTAAGATCCAAATACCACAAGTTTTCATTGTATTATGTTGCACTATCTCACTTCATTAACAACATTTCTACTGGTTTAAGTATCTTCAGGTGAGAGTTATTATTGAATTAACAGTGGTATCAATGAGCTAAAATAAAATATATTTAAACTGTAAAAGGAGGGAATTAGGCTAGTAAATAAGCTTATCAATAATTATATGTGATTGTAAAATATTAGGCAGAGGAAGGTAAAGAATTTTTTTTGTGTGTGAATTTTCTTAATCTATTTTTTTCTTTTACAGAAAAAGATATAAGAGAAGGATAAATTTTAGGTTAAAGTTTTACTTGAAAGTAGAAGAATGAATTAGTTGACCTATATGAAATGAAAATGCTTTGTAAAAATCAGCTCCCACCAGCTAACTACTCATTACAGTCCACTGGTGTAGGGAGATGAGCCTTTGATCTCCTTTCTAAGGTCACCAAGCTTGCCCTAATCCCTGTGGCTCCTCAGTCCTGCAGTTAGATGTGCTTCCTGGGCAAAGAAGCCTGTGAAAACAGCACCAGTCCGGCTTTGGAACACATGTGACAAAAACATTCAAATAACATGTGAGCCAGGACCATTACTAACTTAATTTTTCAGCCCTTTTTGTAGAGCACAAGATCCTTCTTTCTTTATGTCCATGTGAACCCGGAAAGCAGCAGCACTAACCAGTTGTGCCTCATTAGCGGTATTATAGAGAAAAAACCATGAAATAAAAGAGCAATGAATCCTCTCCAAATTCAGATATGATCGCAACACAATTATTTAAGCAACATCACTTATTTACTGTTATTCTATCATGTGTGTCTATTTACAATTTCAGCAAAAGGTGCAACATTTCCACGCAATTGTTTCTTTTAAGTACTGAGTTAAAAATGACTAATGCAAAATTGCCAATGACATATTCTACTTTGATGTTAAGTTCAAGTCCAGAGTTTAGAGAATACACTTCTTTTACTTGAGAGAACAGCACATTGTTTCGAACAATTTTCTCTAAGGATTTTTAGGTCTCTGAAAATAATATTTGTTCAGCTAAATCAGGATGGCTCACCTAGAGTTCTGCTTTGATTTTGCAAATTTTCAATATTTCTTTACACCTAGACCTGATAATTGAGAAGTCATGCAGGAGAAACAGGTCCATTTGTTGGGTGCCCAGCATGTATCAGATGCGTATTGAGCGCACACTGAGATTACCTAGCTAGCAAGTTGCTAGGCAGGGATCTGAACTCGGCTGACTGATTCCAAACGCTGTGTTCTTGCTCCAACATTGCAGTTCCCAGGCTTCCTGCTGCCACAGAGACCGTACAAGTGTGTGCTAGTTCTAAGCACTCCAAAGGTTATGCAGACGTTACTGACACCCCGAATTTCTGTGAATTTTATAGCCATCTAATCAGTTTTGTCTACAGAGGCAGCCCGCTTTGGAATGAGTCTCTTGGCCACATGTTGGACAAACACAGAACATTCCATGGAACAGAACATCTTATATCTCTACACTCTATGCATTGGCTTCTTTGACTTGCCTGGTGTGAAGAGGGCTCCTTCTTCAAGTCTTCATCCAAGTCCACACCAACTCTGTTAAAGAAAACAGAAAATTGGTAACAGCCTTTCTGCAGATGAGTCTTGTGTGTCAGGTCACCTGAAGCGAATCAGAGGAAAGGTTTGGCAGAAAACCATCTTACCTTTCTCAAAATCAAAAGAACATCACATAGATTTATGGCCAAAAGAGAACAATAAAGATGGGCCTCCGCATAACTGACAAGATGGAGTGCCAACAACGTTGTTTGCTGCTGCCTTTCCCAGCAAGAACTAGAGCCTGAGAATCGGAATAGGAGCCCTCGGGAAAAGACTTTGCAGCCCCAAAAACCGGGATCCTGGAGGGAAGGCTGCCTGCTATCCCAACAGGATTCACTGACCACACTGTTCTGGGAATGTGGGGCCCCAGGCTGAAGCAGGTTCCCCAAGACAGAAAAAAACTGATCCTTTGTCCAGAAACTCACTGAGGCTGCCAGTAGGAAGAATCCAGGTTTGTGGTGCCTGAGGCTTACACAATTTTGGGGGGGGGGGATGGTCTCTTTATAAAAATTAATATAAAAATACAAATACAAAATTAGGTATGAAAGTCATTTTAGAAAATAAATTACAAAAAATTACATACTTTTAAAATCTGGCATACATGTAATGGATATCTCAATGCTTAGGAAATACACATAACATTCTAATTAATCAATTGCCTCACACACCTCTCAAGTAACTTTTTCATCTTTATGTTTTGCCTACATACTTTGATACTCTCTTTATATGATAATGATTTTGTACTAGAGAGAATAGGAAGATAAGGTAGTCTTCCTTCTAACAAGATTGATCAAAATTATTGATAGTTGGGAGCCATTATAGCATGTCTCCTTATACACAGACATGCTTGTGTGCAGTGCTGCTACAGGTAAATACCTTGCAAATACAAGACATCTGATCAATTTTATTTCACACAATTTTCAGAAACAATTATATGTGTATATGCTGCATCACTGAATTAATTATTCCTGAATTTCTGTTTTGATGGAGCATCATGAGAACGAAATCCTCCACTTTGAATTTTACATATCCCATGATTGGAAGAATTTTCCACAGACCCGCTTCTGGTTCAGTGCATTCCAAACCTTATTTTTCCTCTACTACCTATAAACTTCTGATGCCAGGTGCCATGGAACATGATCATCTTTGATTCAGCCTGTGACACTATTCCTGTAAGCTGTTCCTGCATCAGCATGGCGGCAGTGACTTGCCAATGCACAGAAGTGACTGTGGGCCACACAATTATATTCCACTAAAGGTAAACTAAAGCAGCAGTCTCCAATATTTTTGGCACCAGGGACCGGTGCTCCTGTGAGAATCTAATGCCTGATGATCTGAGGTGGAGCTGAGGCAGTGATGCCAGAGCTGGGGAACAGCTGCAAACACAGATGAAGCTTTGCTTGCTTGCCCGCCGCTTACCTCCTGCTGTGCGGTCTGGTTCCTAACAAGCCACAGACCAATATCAGTCTGTGGCCCTGAGTTTGGGAACCCCTGAACTAAATGCGTTCCCAACTCAGCTTCCCCTTAGTTGGATTCCCGCAAATGCCCACAACCACTCCAGGGCTATCTGAAGAGAGAAGTATCTTGGAAGGGAAGCAGTAGTGGACGGAAACAGTGCTTGACCCCAACTCTGGTTAAAATATATATTTTTTGCAAGTCTTACAAAAACAAAGGACCATGAGAACACAATGTCAGCACTCTTCCCAGGGTCTTGGAAGGGCCAGAGCAAAAAAAGGGCCCTGAAGCTTAAATTTCCTCTCTTTTAGAGTGGGGTTTGCCTGTGGTGGGGTTTGGGGCAGGTGGGAAGGGTTGCAGGGGTGAGCAACTCAGGACCTCTGAAGTCTGCTGAAGCCGCCCCAGAGCCTTTCCTGTAAACGCCAAGATTTCTAGAGCTTTATGGCCTTTCCTTCAACTCTTGCTTCTGTAAACACTTTAGTCTTCTTGCAGTTCTGTTCTCTAGATGGGGGAAGGGAAGACAGGCTCGGAAGCTGCCAGTCAGGCAGCTGTGTTCACATGTGAAAGGAAAAACAGCAACAGCGGAGAGGTGGCCTGTTCAAAATACCTCTGATTCTTCAAAAATTAGTGTCCTCTGGACATGAACAGCCCCTTCTCTCTAACCTGGAGGGTAAAATGAGTAGCTCTTCATTGTATTCTGAACTTTGGTCTTCAGGTAACTGGACAGGGCTTCTGGAGGGGACTAACCTTTGATTCTCTTAGAGAAGACAAAACTATTTGATATGTTTCATTGAAGCAAGAGTGAGAGAAGGAAGGGAAAGGGATGAGGGAGGAGAAAAAAGGAGGGCAGAGAAAAAAAAGAGGGGAAGGAGCTGTGCAAGGTGTGGGCGGAATAGGAGGGGTAGTAGTGAAGAGAGAAGACTGGAGGAGGACAGAAGGAGGAAAGGGAGGAGGAGGAGGGTAGAAGGATAGAGATGGTAGAAAAGCGGAAAGGGTAGAGGAAAGAGAGAGGAGGGGGTGGTAAGGTCCAGCCTCCTAAGATGGGTACAAGCAGTGATCTCGGGGTGTGGGTGGTCTGAGCCATACCCCTATGAACAGTGGAAACAAAGCTGGAGGCCCCCTGGGCCTCCTGCCCTTCTCTCAAGGGGCTAGTCCACCTTCACACCTCTGGTGGCTCTTAGCTCTCTGGCTGATGCTGGGAGCCCCTCTAAAAGCCTTTATTACAGGGGAAGCCTAACCCCCGACCCCACCACCAGGACTACCGGGCATCAATGTAGGCTGTAAACTAATAAGGGCCTTGAAGTTCCCACTGCTGCATCTATTTAGGGCCTTTTTCTAGTTCTCTGTCTAGAAAACTGGAGAGAATAGAAATCACATTTCATAAGATACCCAATAATTAAAGTTTGAGGCAGTATGCACTGAGATTTTCACCTAAAATGTATGCTTTCCTTCTCAGCAGCAATCAAAGCAGACATTTCCAGTATCAATTATTCTGGTGGCCACATTTAGCTGAGGAACGAAGGCAGGAGATGAAGTTCTTCAGTTTTATGTAGAACTTAGTGAAAAGCACCTTAGAGGCCTGAGCAACAAGGGAGCAAGGACAGGCCTCCTCCTCTCATTTCATGGAAGGCCCGCAGCCCTTATTGGCCTAGAGTCTACTAAATATCTCAAGAGTAAACATCTCAAGTGGCTCGAGGGAAGAGAAACTCTGAAAGTTATTTTCCTCCTGGGGAAGCCGGGTGAATGACACAAATGTGGTCTGTGCCCTTATAAGGCACAGAGTTTTGTAGGTTTAATTAGAAAAATCTTTAAAAATTTCTTGTAATTTAAGTGCTATAAAGGAAAGGCATATAATAATGCATTCTTTCACTTGCAATTTTAGCTCCTTTTGATAGAAACTGTGCTAAATATATACCCTTGCTCCCTGTTTCCTTAAACAGAGTGTGATGGGGGATCCTCAGAACTTCGCTCGAGGTCTCAGTATCCCCACTGGCACCATAAGGCTAATAATTATACCACTTGCTGTGGTATCATTTCTGAGAGATATATGAACCTCCTCATGCCACATTAAATGGTCCCTGGCTACAATTCTTTTTCTTTTTAAAATTCTTTTATCTGCCTGTTAGATTGCCTTGATTCCCTATCTGTGATAATATGTTAACTTATCGTTCCCATGTTCCCTTCACCCCTTTTAATGTAGTAGGGGACTGAGGACCTGATAGCCAAATTTAATACATTTTTCCTTTTCAAATTTATAGTACACACACAAACACATATAACAAAATGATAAAATTCAAACATTATAGAATGGCTTACAATAAAACACCTTTGTTCTCTGCCTCACCCTTGCACACCCCCAGAGTAACTCTCTGTTGCTTCTGAGAGCAATATTCTGCCTTTTTTCCAAGATGATATATAAACTGATATCAACATGCTTGACACATTCACACAACACCTCCAGGGTTAAGCCAAACGTGCCAGTCGCATCTGTATCTCTTATTTTCCTGTTTAAGAAAGCAAGTCAGAATGTGAAAATGACATTCTTTTGAGGTTAATACAGGAAAGAGGCATGAGAACTACACAAATTGACTAAATATTAAACCAGATTGTAGCCAGAGCCTGCTACGTGCTGCTGGACATGGGAAACCTGGCTGATTAGCATAAGGCCGGACTATAGGGAACCTACAGGAAGATTCCT